TTGTGATGAATTTATATTATTAATTATACTGTGAATGTCAATAAAGAATTTCAGAGTTATCCAATTTTCACCTTTTTTTTTTTTTTTTACATAATGATATATTTTAGAAGGAAAACATTTTGTTTATTTAAGTCTTTTTATGATGGCTGGAACATTTTCTAAGATGGTTATTTTCTATGATTCTTTAAAGAGGGATAACACAAATTAATTTAACTTTATTTTTCTTATATTGCACGTAAAACACAAATTCCAACTTGTACTTGTCAAAGTTCTAGTATTTGTTGAATCAATGTCGAAAAAACGTTCAACTAAATCCAATACTAGTAATAATTGCATGCATTTCGCGAACCTAATCTTTGAAAGGACATCATCCATTTTAAAACTTCTTCGGACTTTGCCACATTTTAACCTCGTAATTAACCCGTACTCCTCCATACCAAAGATAGCTATTCGACCATGTTAAACCACACTTTTTTCTTATTATTGCAACTGAACCATACAAAAGAATAAAATGAGAACATAATTATGGCAACAAAATCATAAAATAACTCACTACATTGAGCAAGAAAGGAAGGTTATTTAACATTTCTACATATTTCAGTCAAGAGCTAAAACGATATTTGTCAAAACCTAACATATTGCGCCCTAAAAAGAAATACCAATCGACAAAGCAATTGTTCTCATCTGTGAGTGTTATTTGCCTTCTACCACCAACACATTACACAAAACGAAGAAAAAAGATTAAGCCACTTATTTGAAAGTGATTACTTGAAAATCACTTTTATCTCACACTCATTGAAAGAGTTATTACTTGATTGATTGAAAATGATTTTTTTGAAAATCACTTATTCACTTTTCCTTCGCTATCACTCCCTCCAAGAATTTGCTCCTTCATAAGTATCTTTTTCGAATGATTGACGTGATGTCTATCATAGAGCTTAGATATTAAGTCTTGTCAAACAAAGTGGCAGTTCTCTACCACTTAATAAATGTAAAGTGAGCTAATAAGTCAAAGGTGATGCCTAAAATTAGATTTATGAATTGTGGAAATGATTCCACATGTACCACCATCAAAGAGCCATAATTCACTTTGCACTACTATAAATACTCCCCCACGTCCCCATTGTAAGGTTAATGCAAACTTTATACAACGACTCAATACTAGATTGAATACCAAGCAATTTACTCCATTTTGCTCTCTCGCAGATACAACTAGGTTTACTTAATATTGATCCTCTACAATTGGTAATTAATGAACAATCATTCTTCAAATATATCGTCGAATTTTGAACTTTGTCCCGCACCTTTGAGCCGCTTCGACGCCCTCTCGCAAACCTTTCTAGACTGTCATTCTGTCTTAGCATGTAAGACTTAGCTTACGTGTGTGCGGGTGGGTTCGATATCTGTTGCCCATGTGGTTCCAATCGAAAACGAGGTCAACACTATCAACCAAACGAAAGAATGTTTCAATCTGGGTATGCTTATTAGCCACAACTACGAGAGGTGGTTGACGATGATGATAAAAGCACGGAATGTAGAAACACCCAAGTTTTCTTTCAAAGTAAATTCATTACGTCTAGCGCTGGGGAAAAATCAAATCTAAACGATCAATCCAACCTAATTTGACCTATTTGGGTAGGTTTTTAAGTTCCATTGGGTTGAATTGGAAAATCAAATTTGAGATCAAGTTGAATTGGATCTCGGATTATGAATTAAATGTTGGAAAAATAAGTTATAAAACTTTCAAATTGAAAATTAAAAATTCAGTTTTCATTTTAATTTTTAAGCCTTTAGTTTCATTTTTTTTTTTAATTTTCAGTTTTTGTGTTTAATTTTTAAATTCAATACAAAATTTAATCCCATTATTATATTTTTAACCTATGTTGAGTTTGATTAATTTTCATTATGAGAGAGTTGAACTTTTCTACTATAAAAGGAGATGAATTTCTCATTATTTTACACACAACAAATCAAACACAAAAGATACTCTCTAGTTTTTTCATATTACTCTCTAATCTTTTTATATTATCTTCTTCTATAAATTTTAGCA